TGAAAATGTGTTAATGATGTGTTGCCGATGAGGAGCAATGTGAGGCATCGTTTGAGACATCGCTGAATTTTAACTACGAATTATGTCCTACCGATGATCCCACCGATTCGCAAAAAAGCCTCCGTCACCGTCCGATGACTAGTGGTGCCCGGCCGGCAATCACGCCATTTTCATAAAAAAACACATCGGTTTCTCATCGCATACCCCATCGTTGGATAATGTGACAAACTTTATGCCTAGGTCACATTTCCCAGCCGATAGCCGCAGACCGGTGGTAATGGGTGGGAATCCTTGGTGTAAACGATGCCCTAACATCGGTCCACATCGGCCTAGTAGTCCTTAAAGAATCAGTCACATTATCCAGCGATTGGTATACGATGGGCAACCAATGCGTTTTATGATAAAAATGGCGTGGTTGCCGGCCGGACTTACAAAGGCCCAGCGAAGCATTTCTAATCATAAAACGATGTTCCAGGGTAATCGGCCGATGTATATTATATCGCTCATATATTGGTGAACATCGTTCGAACATCGGTTGACTAAGGGCCAATGTTTGGTCGAACATCGACGGATGACCGGCCGTTATCTGTTGAACACCACTCAACCCCCCGATGACCTCAGATTCAACGGATATTAGACGATGCTCGGCCATACATCGGCCGATCCGTGTAAGATGTGTTAATGATGGGTTGCCGATGAGGAGCGATGTGAGGCATCGTTGGAGACATCGCTGAATTTTAACTACGAATTATTTCCTACCGATGACCCCACCGATTCGCAAAATGGCCCCAGTCACCGTCCGATCACTAGTGGTGCCCGGCCGGCAACCACGCCATTTGCATCAAAAAACGCATCGGTTTCTCATCGTATACCCCATCGCTGGATAATGTGACTGATACTTAAGCATGCCAATGGATAACATCTAGGACGTATATTTTTTCAAGAGTACTGTACAGCTATATATTCAAGAAGTGGTGTAAATCAGATGTGGATACTTTAAAATTCTTTAGAACTTTTGGATAATTTGAAATCACAAGAATTTACAAAAATCAACAGCTTAAAAATTACGACTTTTCAACTTTATACGCAACAATTCCCCACGACAAATTAAAATCCAGGCTTTTTGATATCATTGACAGCTGTTTCTTCAACAAAAATGGAACACGTAAATTAACTTACCTCGTCATTGGTCATTTGAAAAATTATTTTGTTATAACACTTTCTGATTGCACAGATAAGTACTCTGAGGTTGACATCAAGAAAATGCTTGAGTTTGTAATTGACAATATCTATGTGGTTTTTAGAGACCAGGTATTCCAACAATCTATTGGAATTCCCATGGGTAAAAATTGCGCTCCGTTATTAGCAGACTTATTTTTATATTCATATGAAGCAGAATTTATGGAAATTCTTATGCGCAAAAAGAAGAAAACACTTGCTGTGGCCTTCAACTTGACATTTACATATATCGACGACGTCTTGGTATGAAAAACGTCAGTCAGCATTTGACTCAATGATAAATTGTATTTGCTGACAAGGTCATTGTATAGACCATAGAACTTACGAAATGATGACTTTAAACGAGAATGCTGATATTCTTGTTTCTTAAACTTGCTTGTCGATAATTTACCTCGTTTAAGAAATTGTTCATACGTAGAGCATGTTTTTGCGAATCGAATAAGTGAGATATATAGTACTCTGTATGCAGGTGATGAAGATATACTGTATGGATTAAGAAATGCATATTAAACTTTTGAGTTAAATTAAAACAATTATTTCAAATATATTTTCCACAATTGTTAACATACATTTTAATTCATATTTTAATCAACAAGTTTCCGACATTCTGTGTGAGTTTGGGCGATAATTCCTGAGATATTGATATCAATATGTCGACATCTCTCAAAAATAAAACTAAAAATTCTCATAATCTCCCTTTTGCATCAGGAACAAACTTGATTTCCCTGTGCACTGAGTACACCAGAGCATTTATCTTTTTCAGATCATTATTATTCAACCCTTCCGACAGTAGTCTTAATGGCTGAGATTAGCTGTATTAGATTACAAAGCCAACAAATCCCCCCGCCCAATCAAATACGAATTTTCGATTTAGGATAGAATGTACAGAACCCAGCAGGTTTGTTACACGTGGATGCAAAAATGTCTCGACAAACACTAGCTAAATTTTCCCAGTGCAAGCATGCTGCAAAAATCACGAAAACGACGCGTACGTGTGCATTTGAAAGTAAAATCGACGTAAAGTGACCACGCAGCACAGTTAAGGTGCGCAATGGAAATATCGACTAAATTTTGTATTTAAAAATGTATTTGTAATCGGAATGGCGATTATTTTTAGTACATTATTTATATCAGATAATTGTAATTATGATTAATAACTACATATCGAGGACGAATATATTTTATATTTAGACTAGTCACGTGATGCTGCAGTCAGGCGATTTTAGCACATTGACTTGCATTATTGATGTTACATATAAATATCACTAGTGCAAGGCCATAACCAAGTTTAATTTCCAAGTTTATTATATAATTATTTTCAACACACATTGTAGTTTCTAAAAAGTGCTGCGATCCTGTCTAATTTCTGCAATTTCATTGTTACAATTATATTTGTATGACCGAATGCTATATTTTTTGATGGTCAGCGGCATGAAATATTGATATAATTAAATTGTTTTTAAGATTTCATCAGGATCGCAGCACTTTTCAGATACCTTAATAGTTCTAGAGTTGAAATGTAAAAGCTTATTATGATCCATAGAGAGTATGCCCTTGCACTAGATCGATTTATTAAGACCCCCACATTACCCTCCGGTGTACTTGCATACAAATATACGGCAGTGTCAATTAAATACGTAATGTACAGAAAATGTATTAATAAAATAGTGAAAACGACATTAAATCCAAGTTATTGCTCATAGAATATCTGTAAATAATATTTTATTTAATTATAGAATAAATATTTTGTTGAGAAAATATTACTTGATCTGCCTCTCACTGCATACAAACTACGTCACGTTGTAAGAAATGACGTCATATTGACAAGTGTATTGCGATCAGTGACATGTATATAACTTGTTATGTGGGATTTAACTAAAGTCAAAACAACACGCTGTAGTAAGTTTTAATGTAGTTGGATCATTTCTTACTGGTTAAATTAGCAAATCAACTCATTTTGTGGTATTTTAAAGAAATGCTGTATGACGTATATTGTGTATGATGTCATAGTCAAGTTTTCCCGTACAAATTAGGCTCCGCCTCCTTTTTGTAACCTTAACTGTGCTGCGCAAGCTCGCGGAGCAAATTAGAGCAGAGAGTTTCTGTCAATTTAGGGTGAAAAAATAAGTATGATTGTCTGCTGTATAAATATCAGTTTCAGTAATAATGCTTTGCCCATAAACGATGTGGCATGATGAAAAGTTCTATCTTGTTGTGACGTTGTTATGCGCCAACGTCACCGTCAACCTAACAAAAATATACTATTGTTAACTATAGTTAACTATAGTTTACTATAGTTTACTATAGTAAATCAAAGTGTCAAAGTTTTCGTCAAAGTTTTTCAAAGTGTCAAAGTTTTCGCCAAAGTTTTTCAAAGTGTCAAAGATTTCGCCAAAGTTTTTCAACGTGTCAAAGTTTTCGCCAAAGTTTTTCAAAGTGTCAAAGTTTTCGCCAAAGTTTTTCAAAGTGTCAAAGTTCTCGCCAAAGTTTTTCAAAGTGTCAAAGTTTTCGTCAAAGTTTTTCAAAGTGTCAAAGTTTTCCCCAATCTTTTTCAAAGTGTCAAAGTTTTTCAAAGTGTCAAAGTTTTTGCCAAAGTTTTTTTAAAGTGTCAAAGTTTTCGCCAAAGTTTTTCAAAGTGTCAAAGTTTTCGCCAAAGTTTTTCAAAGTGTCAAAGTTTTCGCCAAAGTTTTTCAAAGTGTCAAAGTTTTTGTCAAAGTTTTTCAAAGTGTCAAAGTTTTCGCCAAAGTTTTTCAAAGTGTCAAAGTTTTTGTCAAAGTTTTTCAAAGTGTCAAAGTTTTCGCCAAAGTTTCTCAAAGTGTCAAAGTTTTGGATAAAGTTTTTCAAAGTATCAAAGCTTTCACCAAAGTTTTCAAAGTGTCAAAGTTTTCGCCAAAGTTCTTCAAAGTATCAAAATTTTCTATAAAGTTTTTCAAAGTATCAAACTTTTCGATAAAGTTTTTCAAAGTATCCCAAGTTTTTGATAAAGTTTTTTAAAGTGTCAAAGTTGGCGATTAAGTTTTTCTATGTGTTAAAGTATCCAAGTTTTCGATAAAGTTTTTTTAAATTTTCAAAGTTTTCGATAAAGTTTTTCAAAGTTTTCGATAAAGTTTTTCAAAGTTTTCGATAAAGTTTTCGATAAAGTATTTTGAAGTGTTTAAGTCTCCAAGTTTTTGGACCGGTCACGGTAGCCTAGTGGTAGAGCGTTCGCTTCGTGATCGGGAGGCCCGGGTTCGATTCTCGATCGCGGCGCTGCGTCATACCTAAGACGTTAACAAAGGTAGTGACTGTTCCTTAAGTGAATTTGAGCATCCTCTACAAATGATTAAAATACCAGCCTTTTCTGTGATCGACTACAAAATAGTGAATTGAAAAAAAAAATTCTGAAACAGTTCTTTCATTATTAATTCATTATTTGAGGTCGGGGGCATTTTTGTATGCTTATAGAATTGGTTTAGATCGACTTTTTTCATTTATTTCATCTTTCTATATTGAAAAATGTTTAATCGTTTGTATAGAGTAAAAAAAAACTTAAGTTTAATTTTGCTGTCATTTTATTTCTATGCTTGGAATCTGGATGATCATACAGTATTGTTTCTTGAAAACAAACACATAGCTAAAAAACTAACTTTTAAAAAATGTTTGCTCAGCCAATTTTTTTTCATATGAATATTTTCGGCTACATTCACTCTGGTCGAAAATTGATGATGTAAAACGAACTTCAGTATCTAGTGCAACATCAAAATATTTTCAATCTTTTTGATTTATCCAATGCTCTTTTGTATTTCTAATTTTGTTTCCTTGATGAAAGAGACATCTTTGGAAAGACATATAAGTGTGAATCGATTGGCAAGTATCCGCTGACGGTTTTCAGATGCGTCCTGAATCATATTCTCTAAAGATCTTATCTTCCTTGGTAGTGTTTCCTTACTTATCTTTTTAATTAGTTTTTCAAGCATGTCCCCATACATTGCCTGAAGATGTCTGCATATTGTGCTTTTGATTGTTAACAAGGAGTTTTTATATTCCGCATCTATGACTTTTTGTTTAAGACCAAGACTGACACAAATTGGATAAATACCAAAACTGAGAAAAAAGACTAGTTGAAGAGCCATTATTGACCCTACTTCAGCACTTGGATCAAATGCATCTTCTGAATGGTCTGTCCAATCATTTTCCATTTCAGAAATCTCTAAAGAAACTTCACTATAAAAATTAAATGCCCTCTTTCTTAAGTTAAAAAAAATTTCTTGGATTCGTTCTGAATGCAATACACCTTGGACATACATCTCTATTCTCTTTCTGATCTCATTACTGAAAAGGATTGGGATGTATATAATTTCTGTTATGCTCTTTTGTTCTGGTGGATTTAATATTGCTTCTTTTCCGACATCAGTAGACATGTAGTTAAGCAATCTCTGAGCTTCATTTTTGATAATCTTTTGAATTTCGTCCAGTAATTTCCTTTCCCCCTGAAAAGAATATGACAGTTTGTGGTATAACAATGAATTGATTGGCTAAATAAGTTCAAAATATAAATGGATATTTACCGACAGCGAAAACATATGATTTCCAAAATACCGCCATACCAATTTCTAAGTTTAAATAAAACCTTTTATATTTTAAATAAATAGATAATGAAAAATTGAATAAATTTTTACGACAAATAACAAAATATATATTAAATTTTAATGTCTCAATACTTCTTATAAGCTTTGTGGAAAGGAAAATAATTCTAATTCAGGTCAGCTTGCCAAGGGTTGACTTCAATATAAATAGGGATCTGACCTTTTGGACATGGCTTCTTTTTTCTAAACAAAGAGTTCTTGGAATTCCGTTCAGAATAATGCCATTAGTCTGCATAAATGAAATATTTCGTTTTTGTTCTGTCTTTATTTCACTGAGTTGATTCAAGAGGAACACCTTCAATGATATTCGGAGTTTATCTCGAAATATTTACATTACATAATTATACTATTTTTACATATAAAGTGAATGGAAATCTTTTGCATTTAAAACCACAACTCAGACATGTGGCCAAAAGGTTAGAACATGTGTGTTAGATTGACGTATAATTGTTGAACACTGATGAAGTGCAACGTCACAAGCGAAAATAAATAATAATAATCACGCTCAAATCGATCAAAGCTGTTACGCTGGTTGATCTATTAACTGTAGCTTCCAAAAAGCATAATACATTGATTTTTTAAATAAAAATCAAGATTTGCAGTTAAGATGTATCTTAACATCTAAGAATAAATTGATATAAGCAATGAATCATTTTTTTAAAAGAGTCTCATGACTGCAACGGTGTGTGCAACCAAATTTTAAATTTATAACGCGCAAATGCGCTGAACTCAGTTTGTTTGCACACAGTATCAACATCAAACCGTTCACGGTTGTTCAGAAGGTAGAGCGCTCGCTCCGTGATCAGGAGGTCGTGAGTTCGTATCTCGACTGCGACTAACCTTGTCGATAAAAAGGATAGCAACTGTTCCTTCGCCATGCGCTCGGCACTTTGAAGTGAAAGTTGCAGGTCCTTTGGATGAGACCTTAAAAACCGAGGCCCCTCGTCAGCGGCAGGTGTTGGCTCGATAAAGATCCCTCACTGCTCAAATGGCCCTGAGTGCCGAGTAATGCCTAGGTCACATTTCCCGGCCGGTAACCGTAGACCGGTGGTAATCGGTGGTAATCCGTGGTGTTAACGATGCCCCAACATCGGTACACATCGGCCAAGTAGTCCTAAAAGTATCAGTCACATTATCCAGCGATGTGCATACGATGGACAACCAATACATTTTATGAGAAAAATGGTGTTGTTGCCGGCCGGACTTACAAAGGCCCAGCGATGCATTGCTAATCATAAAACGATGTTCCAGGATAATCGGCCGATGTATATTACATCCCTCATACATTGGTGAACATCGTTCGTACATCGGTCGACTACGGACCAGTGTTTGGTCGAACATCTGACGATGATCGGTTGTAATCCGTTGAACACCACTTAACTCCCCGATGACCTCAGATTCAACGGATATTAGACGATGCTTGGCTATACATCGGCCGATTCTTGAAAAGTGTGTTAATGATGGGTTGCCGATGAGGAGCGATGTGAGGCATCGTTGGAGACATCTCTGAATTTTAACTACGAATTATGTCCTACCTATGACCCCACCGATTCACAAAATGGCCTCAGACACCGTCCGATCATTAGTGGTGCCCGGCCGGCAACCACGCCATTTTCATCAAAAAACGCATCGGTTTCTCATCGTTTACCCCATCGCTGGATAATGTGACTTATACTTAAAGGTCAAAATTTGAAGCCCTTCACCGGCATCCGGTGACGTCTCTATATGAGTGAAATTTTTTTTGAGAGGGACGTTGAACAATATACAATTAATCAATCAATCTAATATGGAATTAAACATGCCCAAAACAGAGTGTCTCTTACCAGGTCAATGAAAAAATTTGTACCGGCCAATAGAAAATGTTGACGTTAATAATTCCTGTATAAAGGCTCTACGAATATTTTTAGGACATGATAAGGAAATATGTTACAATAAAAACTGGACAAAAAATAGTAGAGGGCTTAGAAAAAAACTTTTTGAGTCTTGGAAAAAAAGAAAATTAACAATATTTGGCGAAGTGTGTGTAATTAATAGTCTAGCAATATCAAAAATTATATATGTTGGGTCAATATTTAATTTCCAAATGAAAAAACAGTTAAGAAAATACAAATTCTAATTTTTAATTTCCTATGGAATAAAAAATACAGAAGAAAACGAAATATTCAGACTGGAATTGTTATTCGCTATCAGAATGGTTAATTTTTTTCATCTATCATATATTAGATCAAATAAGATTTTCTCACAACAACCTTCCTTATAGGAAATAGGAAGGGTAATGGAGACTTTTTCCGCAATTCTGATATTCGTCACACTGTGACAGGATATCATTTTGATATTATTTCACAATGTGAAAAAATATCTTTTTCATTTAATGAATAAATTACATTATTTCAAGTGTTAAAATGTAATAAATGAGTTTTTTTAAAGAACGTAAAAGAAATCAAAAAGAGAGCTAAATTTATTAAATTTATTGAATTAATGCTTTATTAAAGGAGCCACTGTAGTGTAATAATAAAATGAAGTATAAAAACAAGCCGTAAAAGTGGATTTAAATGTATTCGTGATATTGTATGCAACCCGTATTATGGTTTTACGATAAACATGTATGCAAGAAAAATTGGATTTGTGAATATATATGATAATGAAAAATGTAGTTTTGAAAGCTTTTGAAGATAATGAATTTACAAATATACAGTATGAAAATGTCATCTATGAAAATAATTAATATGATTTACAACACCATCATCAAGTAACAGTGTTCGACATTTATTTCAAAATTGATTTATAATATTCTATGTCATGATAAATTTAAGCCTCCATTATATCAATATTTTTTTTTAATTAAAGCAGCTTGGAAATTTACATTTTACCAAAAAATATTAGTATTTGCAGTATGAGGCTTATCACACTTCAATGATAGATTATTGAATAACTTATTGTGTAATAGAGAAATGTAAAAGAAATGGAAAATTGTTGAAAATGAAATGTGTGTTTTTCGTAGAGATGTAAAATGTCAAAATGTTTCTCATATATGTGATGTTGTTCTGGAAGTTTTGAAATTTGATATATCATGGTAAAATATTGTTATTAGTTTATATAATGAAAAACAAATGAAAAGATATTTTCGGATAGCATAATATCCCTGGTTGCATGTAAAATTTACAAATACAAAATGTACTGTAGACGTAAACCAAGAGGAAAAGCCACAAGAAATATGTTATCCCATACATGTTAACTCTCCCGATTTAGGCGGGAGTCTACCGCTTTTTCACTCCATCTCCCGCCTACCGATTTAATTCAGAAATCTACCGCTTTTCTACAAAAGCTGCGTCTAAAGTATTTTTGGTTCGCTTGGGTATCCATTTTTGAAGCCACTCTCATAAAATCTCGCTAGATATCGCGTGATTTGACTCGGAATCATACAAACGCTTTTTTTGTACATAGATTTGCACGGATTTGACTACGACAACAACATAAGACTACCAGTGATTACATTGGTTACGATAAATTAATCAACATCCCTGCCATGAAAAAGGAGATACAGCTTTTAAGAATTAGTTGAAAACATTTGACATCGTCTTTTTAAGCACAGAAGCTCACAACTTTATCAATAAAGTCAATAGAAATCACTCGATTGACCAAGCCATGTGGCACATCTCTACTTTCGTTTTCGATCATCGCGGGAAATCTGATTTATATAACGAAAGATACGAACTTGTTTTAGATCTAGATTAAACCATGCCATCATTTGTTTTGTTTAAAAACTGAATGAACATTCAGAATTACTGCTTCTAGGCTATTTTAGCAAAGATCACTCTTCAAAAGGCTAAGTAAAGCAGCCAATCCAAGCAAAATGATGAGCATGAAAAATATTTGAATTTGTACAATGTATGTCAAACTTAAGGTGTTTCTGTCTCCTTCTTTGCTGTTGATATTTAAGATTAATTAGTGTAGGTACCTGATTTCATTTAAGGCAAATATACATTTATATAACATGAAAGATATCGATAATCCAAGCGTTAAACAACACGCGCGCAATGCTACCGCTTTTGAGGTCTGAATCTCCCTCTTTTTCATCACAATAGGTTAACATGTATGGTTATCCTATGAAGAGTATATTTAATATTTTTCTCTGAAGTATATAAGAAAAGTCACCGTATGGAATATTGTAATGTTATAAAATGTATTGAAGACAAATTTTAAATCAAAAACTCATTGTAGAATAAGCCTGTTGTACAAATATTATCTGGGAGACAATAAATAGACTGTATTTGGGCTGGAGGTGAGGTCTCTCAGATAAATAAGGGTACTTACATGCATTCAATAACACATACATGTACAATATTCGGCTGGATTTTGTTTTTAAATTGAATTTTCTTCATTTTGATATTTTGTATTTTTTGATTTGTACATTACAAATAGAAAGAAAGTGATTGTTCAACTTAGGAAATCAAAATATTGCATGTAACATGTATATGATATTTTGCTTTTTCTAATAAATTTTAATATTAAAAAACACATCTTGTTAAAGATGGTTTTCTCTCATGAAAAAAATATTATATTTTTTTTCTAAAATAAAGGAATACCTCTTTCCATTTTCTTTTTAAATCATTGATTTTCGCTTGATGTTTCTTTGTTAAGGCCTTTTGTTCTTCTACACATCTTTTGCTTAAGGCTAGTCCAGAATTTATTCCTTTCATTATATTCTTCAGCAATCCGTCCACAAACCTTCGATTAGACGTGTATTATTATGATATTATTATTATTATTATTATTATTATCCATTTTAATTATATTTTGAATTTTTTTCTTCAAAATAACAGTTTTAAAATTGTTACCTCAAATGATGCAAAAGTCTTTTATTTTCATTTCCTGTAATTATTCGTTTCAGAGAATGTTGAAAATTTTCAAATTCTTTCGTTGAGGCAACTGTTGAAGCAGTCATCTTTTTTGAATACACCTTTGAAAATAATGTATAATAAAGCGTAAATGAACTTTACAATGAATAATTCAAAATTTATGCAACTGCCACTTGGCGCCTACGAGAGAAAAAACTGGTAACATTGATATTTTTTATTCATTTGTTGTTTTAAATATCACGTATTCCAAAAGTATCATGCATTTATAATGATACAGGGGTGATTTCCTAATCCATAAAAATGGGGATTAGCAAATGCATCAAAGATTCTCATTTAAACTCAAACAGTATACATATATAAAGGACTTCGCGTGGCAATTTGCGAAATTATTTTGTTAAAACACTATCTGATTGCACACACAAATACTCTAAAGTTTACATCATAAAGATGCATGAGTTTCGGATTGACAATATCTATGTGGTTTTCGGAGATCAAGTCTTCTAAAAGAGCAAGAGCCATGTTTAGCCTTATTTGGTCATGAGAATTTCCGAAAAATCAAAACCGCTCAGTTTAGGTTGCAAGTGCAGTATTTATTACTTGGAGTGTTGGTGACCATGTATCTATTAATTGTGACGTAATTTTTCATCTAGTCAATTGATTATGACGTCATCAAATACGTCATTTTCCTCATATTGTGTAAATTCCTTTGAAAATGGCCTAAAATTGAGGATTTTTTTTCAATATTTCATGTAGAGCACAACCTCTGATCCAAAATATGCAAATACATAATGAAAGCTCTGTTTCTGAAGATCAAAACACATTTTTTTATTTTTTGGATCGTGGGCTGTGCTCATATCTTAATTCTTTGCTGAAGGTAGTGAAATACGCATGTTTTCTGCAAATTTCAAGAATATTGCAATTTCTCAAACCACGTTTTCCAATATCTGGATTCTCAAAATTATTATAGAAAATAAAACCACCAAGTGTCTACTTTATTCTTACATATAAAATGGGAAAGATGGTGATAGTTAATTATTTGATATAAGTACAGGACCATTTATGCATAACTTGGCTCTACCTCTTTATTGGAGTCCTCGTAGGTACCAATTGCGGTCCGTTACTGGCAGACCTGTTTTTTTAATTTTTGCAAAATCATGCATGAAAATAAAACAATTGCTGTGGTCTTCAACTCGACATTTACCTGGTAGATATATCGCCGACGTTCTGCCAATTAACAATGGTAATTTTCATTCCTATGTTGGTAAGATATATCCTCGGGAGCTTGAGATAAAAGACACCACAGAGTCAGACACATCCTTACTTGTTCATACTTGGATTTTTATTTGAAAAAGACATTAATGGTAATCTAACGACCAAGCTTTATGATAAACGTAATAATTTTATCGTTTCTTTCGTCAAGTTCCCCTACTTATGACACAATATACCTTCATCACCTGAATATGGAGTTTATATATCTTAGTTGATTCGATACGCAATTGTACCAGCATGCTACGTATGAACAATATCTAAAACGAGGTAAATTATTAACAAACAAGTTGATGAAACAATATGATCAGAAGTATCATTGTAACTTATCATTTTCTAAGTTCTATGGTCGAGTCAATGAAATTGTCATCAAATACAAATCATTGAGTCAAATGCTGACTGATGTTTTTCATACCAATTGTAAGTCCACTTTTTTATAAACTGGATTGACGACAGATTTTCCGGTATATCATAACTATGACAATTTAAGGCGAACACAGCATGGGACGCTCCCGTCTCTGATGTGTTGGATGTCCATGCTTAATATACTCCTATTTTGTATTGTTTAATGGACTTGAATTGGTCTTGAATACCGTTCGGTATCTCGATATGTTTTATTTCAAACCCATATTTTCAGTTTCCGTCATTAAAATTAAAACGTTTTGCTAGATAGTAGCCTTTTAATGCCCTGTCAGATTTTGGGTTATATCAGTTTTTCTTCTGCCAGTCCGACATTGTGATTGATTGGAAATGTGGGTTTAATATTTCACATATGTTTCACATGTACTTGTAGCAGAACTTTCTATAGTAACGAGCATACGTACAGTCCCTGAAACGTTCTACTTTCCCATCGGAACGGTGAACGAACGATGAAAGAAACCCGAACGAACGGTGAATAACACAGAGCGAACGGTGAGTAAACATTGAAGTCCATTAAATAATATAAAAGTGGGGCAGGTCAAACTTGCACCTCTAATACAACAGAAGTGGGATCAAATACCATAAAGGAGTGAGTATCACCTGCCAACCGGTCACATTCGCCGTGTGCTTCTTGACATGATTGGGAAAAATCGACAAAATTCGTCCACATTTCAGTCCGTAAATATCGAATAACAATTAGTGCATGTGTAAGAAACGTCAATCAGCATTTGACAGAATGATAAATTGTTTTTGCTGACAATGTCATTGTATCGCCCATAAACTTACGAAATATAACTTTTAACGAGACTGCTGATTTTGGAGTTTCAACAATATCTAATGTCTAATATTTACCTCCTTTTAGAGGTAACTTTGGAGCATGCTCTTGCGTATACAACATTCCCCATCAGAAATGAAGACAAAATCGTCAAAAACGAGTCAAGGTTTTTAACACAGAGAGAACAAGCTTCCCTTTAAGGCCTTATTGGCACTTAAAATTTCTGAAAAATCGGAACTTATCTGTTTTAGATGACAATATGTTCAGATTTCAATTAAAGACTTAGAGACTGCATAACAATATAAAAATTCTCTCTAGTCTACATATATGTATCATGAAGTCAAGAATTACGTCAGTTTCCTTAAATTTTGAAAATTTCATTAAAAATGGCCAAAAAGAGACCTGTTTTTGAATAATATGCACAGCCCCGACCTCAAATATTGAATTAATAATGAAAGAACTGTTTCAGAAGATTTTTTTTTTCAATTCACTATTTCGTAGTAGATTGAGAAAAGGCTGGTATTTTAATCATTTGTAGATGATGCTCAAATTCACTCATTTTCTTCAAAATAAAAGAACATTGCAGTTACAAAGCCTGTTAATCAATAAAAGAACTCTAAAAATTGAAAATTGTATTGGAAATGAAAGCACTAAGTCTCTTCTTTATATGAAATGGGACATTGAGACCTGGCAAGTGACTGAAATTTGGAGTGGGCCATTTCATTGAGTTAAAGAACCTAAATCTTTTGCGTGTTGAAAAATGAGAAATTTCCTGCACCAATGAAATTAATTCTTTAAGCAAAAATGTCGTTTAGAACATATTTTGTAACAAGGTAAAATTTTACGTTTACATGACATGACTGTAAGTTTTCGTTATTCTTTCAGCATGATATTGAATGAAACATAAGTGACATGTCAGCAATCAAAGTGGTATCATATTTTCTGAAAAAACTCTTTACAGTTCATGAAGTAATACAAATATCACATTGGTTTTCTAAATTATGGAATGTAAGGAGATTGTAAAGCATTAAAGAAATACTTACATGCTTAAGATTCATTTTGAAAATGTTTTCCTCCTTTACAGAGGGCCAGATGTTTTTTATGTCCTGTTTGAGTTCTCTCCAGGTCTTTTCTTCTTGATCTTCGTCGCTGCTGTCCTCATCACTGTCCCCATCTCTTGCTATAGTGTCCCACTTATTTGTTATAAATATTACATCTTTTGGATCAAAGCATGGCATCTCATCTTCTAATTGGAGATGAATTATTGACCTCAGAATTTCCGGAAGCTTTCAATAATTTAAGTAGTATAAAGTTAATCGTGTATGAAGATGGAGTGCTTATTTGCATATCACAGGCAAAGGCATAAATAAACATTTCTAATAAAAGAAGAATTCTATTGTGTGTCGTCATTATAGTCGTTAAGGTTTATCACGTGTCAGTTTTTATGAAAGTTCAACACGAACATGTTACCTTAAACTATTTATGAAGGGCATGAAGGACCTTTAGCTGAAAAAATACCTGTCATTCAATTTTTTTCCATATTTTATATATCTCTTATTTAGTATGTCCCACATACCTTAAAGCAGATATATTAATAGGTTTCTAGATTTATTTCTGAGATATTTAGTGACAAATACTATGCCCCACAGTGTCTGAGTGAAGTTTTGATTCTCGTATTTCTGGACCCATTACTCGGTCCATAATGGAATTTTTTCAGCATAGATAAAAAAATATGCCAGTGAACGTATGAATAGGGTTAAAAATTCGAAAAAAACAAAATTCTTTTGTCACATCGCATCTGGAGACGGAAAATTACGTTCTTCTTAAGACAACTTAAACGACAAAAAAATAATTTACAAAAAATCCTATCATTCAATATTTGAAAAATTACGTCGAAATGCAAGTTCGTCATGTTATTGATTAATTGCAAAAATATCGATTGGTGAAGCTGAGCTCAATATTGCACAGGGCATAGTTAAATAAGACATGAGCATGAGAAAAACGTGTAATGTTTACATTTCTCGAGTACGGGAAAACCCTACTATGACGTCACTCATTTGAGAAATAAGCTAAGTAAGATATAACTACAATATATTTCCGTCAACAACCATGTAAAATATTTTTTGTGTTCTGCAATTCATAAAATATCCCACCATGTACTGATCATGACCCATTTTTATTATATTATACTACCCGTGTTTTACCTTATATATAATCTCACTGTACTAAGATCCACTATGATGTCAGCGACTCGTTCAACGCGCAGTGTAGGGAAACAGAAGAGTGGATCAATTTATTCCGTAATTTGATAATATTTGCAAGAAAGTTTGAATGTTTTTAGATATTTTAATACAAAATGGTGAACCCAAACAAACAGTCTTTTTTTTTTACAAATACTGTTGTTTCAATCTGGTTTTGTACATATCTTATCAGAGATAATGACGTAATTAAGCTGAGTCACGTGACCATACATCCTTTGTCCCCTTAAAATTCAATTTTTATAACATATTTCAATTCAACAAATATAAATTATTATTCAACATTCAATGAAAAAACTGCTCAAAAATCTACGAAGAAGCAAGATTTATGAAGGATTTTTTTTTAGGTGGAAGGATTAAATTTTGCAAGATTTGTTCAATTATAAATATTATTCAAACTATTTTACGTAAAATAAGGTTTTATTAATTGCCATGGTTACATCTTATAAAATATTATTAAGGTCAGAGTAATTAATCAAAGAGTTAAAATTTAAGTTCAAAAAGGTCAACTTAGTTGTAGCGTAGCTCAGTAAGACGCAGACTGACCCCCTTTTTCTCTACGATTTTGAGTCATACTATATGAGTACTTATCCAAAATGTACTTCTCAAAATATCCTTGATTTAACATATGTCATGAGTGACATATCTTAATTGAAAAAAGTCTCTTTAAAAGCATTTTGCCAGGAAAAGAATTTCCTAATGTAGATCTATATATATTTAGTCCTGAACCCATAGGCCTTTTGAGATTTAATCATGATCAACGTTTTACACTTTTTTAAAGGCTGAGAAAAACATTTTGAAAAGACAAATGATTTCAGAATGATGCAAAGGCATGAATTATAAGATAAATTTTACAGCATTTTCAAATATTATACATGCACACCAGTAAGAATATTAGGATAGATCACTGCAATGAGTGTAAGGTGGGGCCTTAGAGACAATAAGCATATTTACAGAGAAATAGACCATAAGAATAGAATATGCTGATGAAGAAAGGAAGGGCCAACGTGCCTTAGATCTTTAAATGTCGCCTGTTTACTATCAAATGTTGAAAATAAATATTAGTTGAAAATAAAAAAAATACCCGGTCATTCTGCATGCCACCAGCACTTCCTACATCAACAACAAAAATAAAAGAAACTGCATAAGGGAGGTACTCCATAACTTTCTTGCTCACATCTCCAGAACCACCTATTCCCGGAGTATCAACTATAATTGTATTGCCCTGCCGGAGTAATAAATAGAAAAAGAAAGGAAAAAGGTGAAAAATGCCAGATAAATAAATTAAAATTATGTGTATTATTATAATGGTATTACATTTAACACTTTCGCTGTCGCGCTGCAGAAAGTGACTAAGTTTATAAAAAAAACAATAGCACTCCGTTGATATAACGTTCTATATATACATATATTATCAATTGATATCACCTTCAGAAAAGGTATCGGAAATCCTACGTCTACAGATCGAAAATCTTTGCTGTCTTTCGAAGACGTCATATCTGTTAATCTTTTCAATGTATCCCTTAATATCTTTTCTACATTCTCTGTTTCGATACTACACTGTAAAGGAATTATTTGTGTTTCCCCATTTAAAAGTTCAGTGATAATCCTTATATCTTCAGAATTTCTTATTTTACAAATTGTAGAAGTGGATTCTCTATTCCTGCCTTTGAAAATCCTTTTTTGTAGTAGCTTGTTGATTAACGTTGATTTCCCTGCACTCGTTTCACCTAAAAAGAGAACTTAGTTATGCTGTATTCAATTTCTATTTGTATTCTCTGTGATAACTCTTTTAAGAATATATTTTTTGATTTATTGATCATTCTGCCAGCATGTAAATTTTACCAATCGATACCTCAGGAACTAAGGAGATCTAATGCACATGTGAACATCTTGCGTCTGTCTTAGTGTCTGACGCACAAAAGAGACCTTATTTTCATGTAAATCTCGAACAACTGTCTCCGTGTGTGACGTCAAGGGGCAGGACTATTGAAATTGAAATGGGAGGCCTCTTGTATTTCAAATCTATTAATCTATATTTTTAAAATGTCGATTTGTAATTTTATTTCACAATGCAACGGAAATACAAGGAATCACTGAATAGTTATTGGAGTATGCCAGGGCCATCAACGTTAGTTGAAAACCTTGAATAATTTATTTTTTACAAAACGGGCTTCGTCAGCTTCTCCTGATAATACTTTGATTCCCTATTGTGGCCCCACCCTAACGTGTTGGCCATATTTTGAACACATAAGAATTTACAATACTCAGGGAAGCTTTTAAAAAGTTTTCAGCTATACTGATCTAATGTTTCTGGAGAAGAAGATATTCAAAGATTTTAAACTTTGATTTACTAAAATGGCCTCACCCTTACCTCGGGGACCAAGGAACTACATATTGTACTCATAACTGTATTTTTTAAATCTTTAACTCCTAGTCTTCAGATCACCTTTTTAAAATTTTGTAAAGATTTTCAGTCTATCTTTGCAAAACCAATATAATACTTGTAATAAATCATAATTCAATTAAACGTCTTAAATAGTGTTGATTGGTGTACAAAATATTACCTGCCACAACAATTCCATGATCCTCCTTCAGCAGATCTTTTCTACATTTTTCAATTTTTCTCAGATAGTCTGGATTGGATTCGTGTAAGTATTTTCTTAGGCCGTCGTCAAATTCATCACTCTCAAGAATCTGCCGAAGTTCTTCGAACAAGATACTTAATTTCTTCTGTAGACTTTCTGTTGGCAGCCGATCCCTTTAGGAAATTGTAGATATGTAAATGATATAAGCTTTGTAAAGAAAAAATGTAATACATCCAATAAACAGTTTTTTTGTCACACATGGTCATATATTTATTAATAACCATAAACATTTAAATGCAAATGATTCTTTTGTATTGCTGGGAGACGGATCGCGAAAGTACAAGGTGATACGACGATAAACCGGTGTAACGTTGATATTTGATCAGGGTTGAAAATTAACCCGTGTGGTCATTTTTCAACGTTTCAACGTTGAATACTGAGACCAAAAGTATTATATTTAGACCTTAGTCCGTTGAAAACGTAGCCGGATCATCAACATAAAACACATATTCATTACTTGGTTATTATTTGGTTATCGCAACTGCGATTGGATCCATAGGGTCTGTGGATGCTTAGCTCCACCCCCACCCCCCTCTCTCTCACACACACACACACACACACCCTCACACACACACCCACACACACACACACACACACACACTTTAGAAATTTTGAAATCGCCATTTTTTTCTTAATATGTCAGTAACATCAAAACATTGTATACTCTAAACAAGCATTATTTTCGAAAATTTCAAAACTATACATTCTACATCATAGACAAGTGCTTTCTCAATGAAAATGGAACTTGGAAGTTTTCGTCTCTTGTGATAGATCATCAACAAAAATCATTTTGTTAAAAATCACCCTGTTTCTATCTAAATTTTTTAAAGTACATAAGTTGATATTAAAAGTTCACTTTTTCCCGTTCACTTTAAGGCATACCTTTGCCTTTTATAGATATAGAAACAGTGCAGTTCATGTAACTTCTATATTTTCTGTACATTGATATTGACACTAAAGCGCAAGATGAAATAAGTATGTCAAAAAGATGGTATTTTTTTCTGAATAACTTTCTGAAATTTATCTTCATGAAACATACTTTCCAACGAAAAACTTTAAAGTTTCAGACCATAAATGTACAAGAATTATTTTTTCAATAGTAACAATTTACTAATGTTGAAAGATAAACAATGCTTTATAATCCAATCTTTTGACATGATTTCTTTATGCATTTTTGTAATTTTTCAGCGCTGCATATCGACAAAACCAAGACAAGTATGGAAATTGTGCAAAGTACTTAGTAAAATACACATCTGTACGAAGTCAATTTGAGCATTAAAGCTAAATACGGTAAAACGAGAAAATTTTGCGCATACATATTATAGCGCAAACGCAAGTGTTAATGCATTAGCGCAAATAAATTTTAGCGCTTGCACTTAAAAATAAAATATATCAATGTGATTTTGTATTTTTATCCACGTCCATATTTGACTTTTTGGTTAGTCAAGCACGGAAACACACGGGTGAAACACAATATAGGGGACAGTAAGGTTGCACTTGGGGGTGAAAAATTAATGTCTTCGTTTTGCCCCCAAAAAATTTTTTCTAAAAAGTAGAGTATCTAAAGGATCTCAAGCATAAACGGTTTTGTGAAATTCACATTAGAACTTTGTTTTTTACAAGCTGATAACAACCTCATTTTCACAGGTTACGGACACTACAAGTGTTGTTTTCTTTGAAATAAATATTAAAAACTGTTATAAGCTCTAATTTTTTCAACTGCTTACAAACAAAGAACATATATAAATACAAAATAAGGACAAAAATTTGACTAAAAAGGTGACATTGTACTTTAAAATTTAAACAGTTCTTACTTCGTTCATTTTTGTTCAAAATGGGAGTATTTCATTTCATGTGAACTCTTTAAAACCAATGTAAATAAAGCAAAAACTATTTATAAATAACCTTTTTTATGCGTTTGGTGAGATATAAATACTTCCATTAAAATAGGACATTTCATTTTTATAAATTTTCTAAAATTATTTGATAGCTTCATTAAGTTACGGACACTACAAAACCCAAATATTTATGATTGGCATTTGGTTTGTGGTAAAAAAAAAACCTTTTGTAAACTTCTGAACTATAAGAAATCAGATTTAAATGATTATTAAATACAAAGTATATACAAATTATATATTGTTTCAATTAAAAACAATTTACTTGCAACACACAGAAAAAAATCCACTTTAGGAAATCCTGAAACTTCTTCTTTCACATAACTACATGATTGTATTTATTACTGAAGTGCAAAAGAAAAGTTTTATTATTCATTAAAGTTTTATGAAAACTATTTAGAATGTAGGTACAATGATCAATGAAGTCAATTAACCAAATTAAAGGGTTACGGACACTACACAATACTTAAATTTTTCACAGGTTTGTGGATGAAGTTTTTGTTTTTAAGCCCTTTTCCTATCTTTTTTCAGCATTGCATTTCTCGTTTCAGTTTCTCCTGATTTTTTTTATTCTTCAGATCTCAGCTTCATCTGTTACAAGCATACCATAACCAATATACTTTGAATAAATATATACACATGTAACTTTAGACAGGTGTTATGTGTAAGTAGAAAAAGTCAAACCTTAATTGAAGAATAAAGCTCACGAATATTTCTACAATTATATTTTCTTTTCTGTGAAGCATTCTATTTTTCTTCAAACAGTTAAATAGAGTTGGGTATTGCGAGTGAAAACCATATTGCGATATATTGCAATATTTTACCTTGAATATTGCAATATATTGCAATATATTGTAGATTAATTATCATTAATAAATTTGAGCAGAATGTTTGAAATGCTGTCAAGTTCAAAGACTATTTGAATTCATCTTTAAATTTTAAAGGGGGATAAGGGATAAGACATTAATTGCACATCTAATAACACTTTACTTTTAATCAAGTTAACCAGGTAAAATAATGAAACAAAATGAACTCCCTTGGACGATTTTCTTTTTTTTATATAGATTATATAATTTTTTTCTTTTTTTGGGGGGGGGGTGTCTTTATGAAGTAGCATAAAATACTATTAAAGATTAAAACAATACATTTATATGAGAATAATTTTATTCTGGTTACAGAGTAAAATTAAAACCAGAAAAAAAAATTGTGACCTATTTTCGTGCCTTTTGGTGTTTTAGTCTAACCCGACCTAATTCCACATTATGTATACGATCAGGAAATGACCTACATCTACTCATTTAATATATGTACATGCTTCATGATGTGTTTAAAATGGCATGAAAGTTATTTAAAAAATAATTAAATTAACACTGCTACAAGTTAAACATGGATGACTGTTTACTTCTAATATGTACTTGTATATAGAACTTTAGTCTTTACATTTCATACGATGTTGATCAGATTCTGTAGATTCCAAGCGAGATTTTGAGAACCACAGTAAACATGGTATATACCTTGTAGAAATGTTTTATAAATTTTCTTTCTCATAAATTTTATTTTTAAAGTCTTATTAATTTTTAATTTTGATTTAAAAGTAAGATATTCAAAACAGCAACAGTGAATTAAAAGCTCTCTCTCTCTCTCTCTCTTGAACGAACGAAGCTGACGAAGTATTCTTTCAACGAGAAAGAAAAAGCCTTAAGTAGTTTCAAGTATTATTTCAGCAGTTTCTACAATAAAAGAGGTTTTTATATATTTTTATAAATATCGTGAAATACCGGTATTTCATTTTCATATCGCGATATATTAGCGTGGTGGATAATACCGCAATATACCGATATACCGGTAATATTGCACACCCCTACAGTTAAATATACAATACTTTATATGAAATTGGTGTAATTTTAGTTGTTTTCTTTTTTGAAATTGTTTGTGGTGTCCGTAACCAAATTACTTCCCAACTGTTTAACATTTTGAATGCAAATTTACTTGCATTTAACACATTTTAAGATTTTACCTAATAAGCAACTAAACAATTGAAGCAATATTCACAAAATATATGGGTTATGTAGCTAATGATAATAATGTCTAACTATTTTTATATGTCATTGTGGGTGTCCAATCATTATTTTAGTACTTGCAGTAAAGAAAAAAAACCACATGATCTAAAATAATTCCAACTAATAAACACCTTTTTATCTCTAAATTCAATAATACACTGTTTCAAAAAATTATCTGTAAATTCTATGGAGAAAAAATAAAGATATTTCATTTTTCAACTTTTGGTTACGGACACTACACCCTCTACAAGTTATTTACAATAGGATAAAACTATACCTTAAAGAAAAGAATTTCAACAAGATTTTCTTAAATGTAACACCAGTTGACTTAAACAATGAAAAAATAATGACATGCTATTTGACTTAAATCCTAGGATGTCAATAGCATCTGCCAATATCAAGGTGATGTAACACCAAGGATCTTGTATATGAAAATGGTGCAATCTGGGTTTCCCAAATTAGTTGCAATATCAAAATGTGGGAGAAAAATAAAGTACATTGACTAACTTGTTAAACAAACTTCTGACCCTTGTGAACAAATTTGCATTAGTGTTTCAACACTGCCTGTTTCAAACTGCCTCAAATTCAGGTTACGGACACTACAGGGTTTTGTAGTGTCCGTAACCACATTTGTAATAAAAACAGACGAACAGTACTGAGGATCAGGAAAATTACAAAACATCTCAGCATCTATATGAGATGCCTATCTAGGAAATTAGTAAAGATATTTATAGAGCTTTCCAATTTCACAGAATGAAAGTGGTTACAGACACTACAGTTTTTTGTAAAACCTTAATTTTCCACATTAAAACATGATGAAATTTCATTTCAGTTGTTACAAAAACTTTTTTCTGTAAGTAACAGAGCATTAATACTGTGATTTTAGACAGAAATCTGAGAAAATAAATGATATGGACATTATTTTTATTTGGCATAATGAGAGGGGTGAAATTATATATAACATTTCACCCCTATTACATTTTCTTTCATATCTTCAAAAGTTGTCATTCAATCCTGAAAATTCAAGCACCAAAATAATTTGTAAAATAAATTCTTAAGTCTGATAATGATCATTGGCATGAAAATTTATGATATATCACAATAATTCCAATTGAAAAATGGTGTAATTTCAAAGCGCAACCGCATAACGCTAAAAAAGGGTCATTTTGGGGGTACATTTATTGCATTTACTTAAATTCTGTTAAAGTTAGATCAACAAAATTTTGCACACAAGTCCTTTATAAGTATGCCTATAAATGAATTATGATAAATAACATGTAAAGAAGTTAACGTTTCTAAAAATCATGTGTAACAATGTGGTATTCTTAATGCGCCCTATATTGTGTTTCACCCGACAATGCACTCCCGTATATAAGTATACATTCGTCAGCTTAATCGTGGGTTACAATAACATGGACGTGAGACAATGTTGAATATTATTTTATTTTAAGGACAAACGCAACGTACTTTACCTGCTGATAAATTTCAAGATATTCTTTATTTAAGATTAAAGTGTCATCAAATGTTCATAGACAAAAAATCAGTATGCATTACGAGGGATTTTTGAAAGATATTAATTGATGAAAATATTTGAATAATTCAAAGAAAAATAAAAAAAAAAAACATATGTTGTAGATGTTTCTTTTATCCGAAATTGTTTTAGAAGAAGTGTACAACACACTATATAGAAATTAAAATATAACACACAGTTCCCTCAAGTATTGGAACTCTTCAACTCCTTGGGAAAAGACGAATAAGCTCGAACTATTGTGACCTTATTTTTCTTTTTTTGAAAAATGGAGTATTTACGCATTTTATTCATATTAAAAGAATGCATGCCATGATGCATCCAAAGAGCGTTACTTAAATAAACGATAATTATAATCAGGTATTGTCTGGAAGCTCAGTCGCCTTGTTTGATTGCATTGTTTACCTCAAGGCGATAGATGATTGAACGCCGAGAAGCCAAGCTTTGAAGGTGCTAATGATATTTATTGGGTAACAAATAACAGTATTTTAATTAAAGTATGATTTGACAGAACTTTATCAATTGATCCTACCATGTAAAATGCTAATGTGTATATATAAAATCCAACGATCCTTCAATATTACGCAGTCGCGCGTTCTGGTTTTCATGTATTTATGTGAGAGATTTGAGCACACACAAAAAATAATATTCTAGAAATCTGTTAGCGCACAATAAAATTTGGCGTTCAGGGGCTCTTGCGCTAAAGGCGCTTAAATTGATATTGCGCCAAATATTATCGTTTTACGGTAGTATCAAGGAAAGCTCGATAGATTAATTTTTGAATACCTATAGTATAATAATACACATGTAACGTCATAAATGTATACAAACAAATTTCCTTCTTTAAAACATCAAATTTTCCTGAAGATCAAGATTTTAGAGAATATGCAAATTTATTATGAAATATCCAATAATATAAGTATTTCTCGTACTAAAGCTCGATAATTTTTAATTTTGTTGCAAGAAAATGTGACCTTTTTAGGTCAAAATTCAACAGGGTCAATTATCAACTTGTTGAGGTCATCAGGGATAAGAGAAAAAATATCAAGCTGTTGAAAAATGACCCCGTGTATAAATTTAACTACTTTTGGTCTCAATTTTCAACGAAAACAAAACACTCCCGGTTCAATATTCAACGTTGCAAAATGAACCCCGGGTCAATTTTTAACTTTGGTCAATATTCAACGTTATACCAGCCCATGGCACATCTAACAAAGTCATATTTAGGTCAAATTTTCAACAATCATTTTTTATTGCATATAATTTTAACATAATCTCTGAGTTTGAAGATATCAAAATTTTATAGCACAATTTAAAAAAAGAGACACGTTTATTCTTTTATTAAAAAAAAACTATTATACAACTTAAAGATTTGGACTAAAAGACTCATTATACCAGTAATCTATAACCGAAACATTTCAGCATCGTTTTTATGACGATTTCAAATATACAATAAAAAGTCTTGAAACGATCTATACTTAAATAAAGATTTTCTTACTTTTATTCCTAAATATGGTTATTAATTGTAAATGTTTTATTTTAAGTGGCTAAGTGTTCGATATCAATTTTAAATAAGTAAACAAAATGAAAAAAAAATGTGCAATACAAAAAAAATACATTATTATACTTTCATGTTAAATATTAAATCTGATTGGTTTAGACGCAGTTAACAATCCGTTCTATTACCCTCAGCCCTTGCAACACACGTGGTAACACAACGGTAATGCCACATGCGTGGAAATTATGCGCATACGGTTCACCGTAGAATTCTCAAAACGTCAGTTGCGCGTTTGAAAGAACAAGAATAACCTTGACGTCAATTAAAGCTTGCGTCCGATGTAGCTTACTAGAAAACAACAAACGACAGACGAAACATGCTTGCGAGTGCAGAAATAACAAAACTTTAGATGATAAAGGACTCGTAGAGTATCAAATAAACAATAGAGAGGTCAGTAAATCTTTTTCGAAGTAGCGGGGAGTTTGAAAGCCTTCTAAACGTGAACGAAAAGGCTATCGACGATTTGTATTGCTGACATAGTAAATCAAAAAGACATTCAGTATAATAAAATAAATGGTGCCTGTTTTGGAGGGTAACAGTTGAAATTGACACCCCTCGGAAAACCATTGTCAACCTCCGCTGACGCGTCGGTTGAAAATGGTTTTCCTTGGGGTGTCAATTTCAACTGTTACCCTCCAAAACAGGTACCATTTATATAATACAACCCCTTTCTTCTATATTAAATGAATTCATAAATTTCCATTGGATGGATTGTAGTTGAACCTTAATTATGCATAATTTATTAAAAGACATATGTATAGATTAGTTTATCTTTCTTTGCTAAAATCCTCTCGAACAGGAAGTAAAAACAGCAAATAATCAATCAACTAAATAATCAAAATATTTTCAAAGAATATATGAAATGTTTTGAATAAATAAATCCCATGGGTGGAAATACACCCTAGCTATAAAGTGACAAAAACAGAAAAATTGATATGGTGATACATGTACATGTCAGAGATTCAAATAAAAGGAGTCAAGATTTGTTTTAACACAATTTAGAAGAAACTCTTTACATGAAGTCTCGCAAATATCTCATGTGTTTTTTAATGTTCACGAGATGAACGATGCGAACTCTTGCAAATAATGATGTGCTTACCTGTTGGGTTCTGTTTTGTTTTTTGAAACGTATTTACCCCTGCTTGAATATTCTGTTGACTATAAAGAAAAAAAAATTATGGGTGTAAGTATAAAACTCATTAATAAAAAAGCTTCTTATAGTAGTCTGTGTTTTCTTTTAAGATTTAGTGACCAGAATGTCAGACTGAACGTTGGAAGAATAATAGGAATGTTAACATGTAAATATGTTTCAAATAGATAACGATAATATTATGCATATATACTCTTTAAGGGATTGAATATTTTACGTGCATGTACATTGAATTTTTAAATCTAATTTTTCCATACTTGTTTAATTTTAAACTTCTCATCTGTAAACTGGTCTCGTGAAACAGAAAACTCATTTACTGCCACTTGTGCATATGTCCTAGAATAGAGAATTACTTGTTAATTTGATTTTCAGTACTCACTAACTGAAAAGTGCTAAATACCTCACGTGTTGGTCGTATGAATATATAAAGGCCATGGATGGATATCCACGGAAGCTATTAAGTAAAAAAACCAAACAGACTGATATTCTGATAAGATGTTTAAAAAATGAGACAATATTGCTCTTTACAGTTACAAAAAAAACCCTCTTTACATGAAGCCGAGGAAATATATATTATGCGAGATTCATTTCAACAATATAAACGTTCAGAAACGTTATGTTTTGCAAAAAATATAAATGCCAACCTGCCCTGTTTAATTTCAGTTTTCAGATATTCATTCTTGCTTGAATTTTCTGTTAACTATGTTTAAAGAAAATACAAACTTAATAATGTTAATGAAAATTGATTTTTAGAAAACTTCTTATAGTATATCGTGTTTCCATTTAGTGATCAAATCTTCAGACGTCCTGAATATTTGAAGAGTAATATGAATGCTTTAATTTGTTTGAAATGAAAATAAACAAAATATTGCAAAAACTTTTGCAGTCAGCGAATTTAAAAATTCATATGTTACATGCATGTACATTGAATGTTATTTTCTAATATTTCCATACCTTTTTCGTTTTGAACTCCTTGTCTGTAAACTGCGAAACAGACATCTTATCTACTGCCGTTTGGGCATAGGTCTTGTAACAAACGATTACTTACTTATTTCTCTTTCCGTATTCTTTTACTGATAAAGAGGAAAATACCTGCAAAGGAGATAAAGACAGGTTTCCTTTTTGAAAAAAACCCTTGTTTAGTTGCTTTTTATGAACACTAACATTTTAAAAAACAATGGAAAAATATATAATATGATATTATTTTAACAGATAAACGAGAACTTTTGAATAAATATAATTTTATATATGCAAACAATGCCCTGTTCATTTCAGTTTCTGTAATATTTTATCGAATTTTCTGTAACATGTATAATTAATTTGATTTTATTTTTTTTCTTTTAAAAGAACTGTTTCTTTTGATCAAATCATTAAATATTTAAACAAGAATCAGCAATTCATTATTATGTCAAAATGATAAATGGAAACATAAGCAGGGATTAGGGAGGCCATAAAGGTCAAGGAGACTTTAGAGGGCACAACTTCCAACATTTTTAATGGGCTATTTTGAAAATTAATTGGCCATCAATAAAAATCCTAACAAATTAAACAAAGATACTTTGCGGGTTCCAGTAAATGTTCAACCAAGTCTTTCTTTACTCCTCACCAAGAAGTTAACGGTAGTGAAGGAGAAACTTCAAGAGTACTGTGCAACAATATATTCAAGACGTGGTGTGAGCTCAAAAATTCCAAGGAACATTAAATCAATTTGAAATCACAAGATCTTACCAAAATCAACAGCTTTTAAACTTTCGACTTATACATAAGCATTCCCAGGGATCTCCATCGTTTACAATTTTACTGTGTTGCAGAGTTCACGCGAAGCACTAAAATTTCGCGGTGCTTTTGTGATCAAATTCGCCAATGAATCAATATTCATTATAATTTCATAATTACAAAACAAAACATGCACACACTTTAAAAAAATACTATTTTGTTACAAAAATGGTATGGCCGTACATATTGATAAAAGCAAAAAAAAAACATGTTCAGAAAAGCAGAGAAAATTCTGGTCGATATAGTCGAAGTACTTAACATTTTTGAAAGAAAATTGGCCGTGCTTATTTTTCAGTTTTTTTAAATTCCAAGAAAAAGAAACTTTAATATTGTAAAATACTTTAAAGGAGGCCGACTATGGTTTTATTGTGAGAAAACTACAATAGCGAAACTCTTTATTTTATACTGTATATAACTTACATTTACTTTGGTGTACATGCAAAGTTTGGTCGAAATCTACTGTCCAGGTATTTTGAAGGGACCGTCTCAAAACATAGGTACATTTACTATAGTCTTATATTGGAAAATGACAGTTTGAATCACTTTTAGGCAAATCATACAAATACTACAATAGACTTTTTGTTCAAACTATGATATATGAAGAGTAATACTATATTTTAGATTATGTTTAAGAAACACAAAATTCTACCGTCTTGTTACCAGAGGGGGCATCTCAAAAGGCCAAAAAATAAGGAATTCTTCCGTTTATATACAGTACTACAAAATATGAGGGGCACAAAGGTATTATCTGAAAAAAATGACAAGAATAATCCATTATGGAGAGATTCTCAAATTGCTATATTTTGAATTTCAAGAGCGGTATGTTTACTACTTTTTAATAAATTACATTTTTATTACCCTTTTCTTTAAGAGCTTCAGTTTATCATAACGTCAAAAACCTACTATGTCGACGCCAACCTATCTATCAGTTGCATAATCGGTTAAAAATTCAGTTATATAAAACTGTTATAAGATTTTTATATATGTATTTTCTTAATATTGTTAAATTTTATTAATCAAGTGAAAAAGGTGGCTTTAAAACAGTAAATATGCTTCATTTTACTATATATGATGCGAAATATTGCGCAATGAAAACTACAGTTGCCCCCTTAAGAGTTCCTTGAACATGTTGAAAATTTTAAACAATTTATTTACATCAATAAAATAACTTCGGTACGATGTCATGTTTGACTCCAAGTGCTAACATAGATCGAGAGCCGTGGCTCTATATAAAAGACATTTAAATATTTTTAAAAAAATACAATGTATTTTCATGCAACTACCAAATAACCGTTACACGGAAGTGTGAAAACAAATTATATGTCTTTGTTCCTTCATGTGTAAAGTTTGGCGAGGGTATAGGAGATAATTGATTAAAAGATGCAAGGTGAAGCCCTAGTTATTAAGTGCTCTACCTCTGGTAAAATTGTTTAAAGTTTTAGTTAGAGAGGAGAATTTATTTGTCTGGAATTTCTAATTATCACAGATCTTACTGTGTCGGAAAAAATTTTACTGTGTCGCACGCATAAAGGTTAATGCTCTATAAGGCCATTTTCCGGCCTACTATTAAATCACTTCAAAATGTGATTTTATATAATTATAATCATTCTCTTTCATGATTTTGAAGTTTGGTTTATCAACATCGATCATTTAGGTCACGTGATTAAGAGATCAAATATGGCCGTCACTTAAAGAAAAGTTGAGGGTAGGTCTATTCAAATAAAGTATCTTTGCATGTTTCTAAATGTAAATAATCAAGAATTAATTATTAATGTCAGAAACACATCAGACTTAAATATTACATCAGACTTAAGTAATATTCGAAAATTTTGTAAATTGAAGGTTCAAGATATTTTTTATGACAAAAAATTTGAAGCATTTACATTTTGCATTTTTGAACGTAAATCTTTCAAAATTCACACCGTATGATGCTGAAAAAAAGTTTTTATTATCAATGACATTTAATTAAAAGTAATATATCTTATATGGTTATATTGTCATTGTATATCATTTTTATAGATGTGGTACCTCTTTTAAGCATAAAATAATCATGTAAGAAATGAGGTTTCTAAGTTTCTTTTGAACTATAAAAGGTATGTATCAAATGTTAAAAGCGCTGAATTGATTTTGATAGTGATTAAATAAAACTGAAGTAGTATATGATAAAAGAAAATCGTAATTGTAAAAAAAAAAAAAAAAAAAAATAAATAATTGATTTACAGCATAAAAATGTCAATGCAACGACATCCATATACATGTAAATAGTCAAAACATGTAACTCAGAGCCGTTGCATTAAAATATACATCTCTAAGTAATATAAAATAAGTAAGATGACTAATTACTGGTGTTGCACGATAAATTTAATTAAAAGTGTCTTTTTATTTTATACATTATAAAAGTTGAGACGTTTCTACGGCAAAGCATAAAAATTAATAAAAAAAATGAATTAGCATTTCTAAAGGCGCTTAAAAGAATACACAGCCAAATGTTTTACGTTTACAGTATATACGGATTTAAGAGTTCTAGATCTTCCCAGGTACAAAATGGACCCTAAGGGTTTGTTGTTCCTTTCGCACTCTTGAAACCTGTAGGTTAAATTCAGTCTTTTTCTCATTCAAAACACATTAAATGTCAGCATTCAAAGTAAATGTCTTTGGATATCATCTTTTAAAAGAAGGTCCCCGTTCCGCGTTAGGTGTTGGTCAATAATGCAACTACTGAGTATGCATAAATCAAAATTGCGACATTTGACCTTAGTGGACGATCTCTTTATTTGGTTGAAAAATCCTTAAAATGGGGTAAAGCAACATTCAATTATCAATTACATATTACAGAAGTCCTTCTCCTTCTTACCCTTATATAGTATATAAGACAGGACCACTGTTCTCGTAATTTATATCGATGCTATCAAGGAAGTGCGATGAATAGATTGAGTTATCCCAATTAAGACCCAGTTAACAAAATATGGATCATATGTTACTCGTCCATAAGTGTCCCTATAAAAGTTATGTTGTAACCATAGAAAATAAGTGTATAACACAAATAGGAAATGCATTTTACCGCTTCAAGTAAGATGGCTTTTATCATTTCTTCAACATATACAATACTAATAAGGAAATACAAAGAACTTATGCAGTACTCTGATAATGGAATTCAAAGAAGTAGCATATATAGATATAAAATAAACTATCATTATAAATATTCATATCTCATATTCTCACCTTAAAGCCTATAAAAAGGTTTTAATTTTTTTTAATTTTTATCATACATTTCAACGATACGTCTCCATTTGTAATTTCATGACATCAATTCTTCTCAGTCCTTTGATTTTAGATTTTCAAGTAAAGAATTGACATTTCTTTAAGTAAATATGCAATCTCATTAAGTCAACAGAAAATTGTACTCTAAACAAAAGTTCATAAAAAGAAATAATCCAAATAAGCTGATATCCTATCATTGTGAGTAGTTAGATTTTTCTGCAAATATCGTAAAAATGAAGCAAAATCTTTTTTTATATGTCATAACCACCTTTGACCAAATTAATAATTTGGTAGTAACTTTTTAAGTTTATAAGAAATTTACATGCAAAAGTTGATCTTGGTTAAAGATGGTTATGACATGCATAGGTGTTATCTAACACAGCCATCCTCTTGAGTTTTCCCATAACCGGTACTCTAATGCTAATACGGACCTATAGTACCTTACTTTGTGACCCTATATCATAACAAATATTAGTGTATCATTAACCAACCAATATTTCTCATTGTATTGGAACATAAGCCTACTGATTCATGCAATTTCTTAAACAATAAAATGGGAATAAATACTATCATAACCCGCGTAAGAAAATTTTTTCTGAAGTCATTGTAACAACAAACAAAGGCATTTTATTGTTTATATTCATATCTGTTTAAAAAATCAATTAAAGTAGGATTGAAAAGATTAATAATTGTATTAATGATTCGAATGTCTTTATACGTTTCATTTATGGAACAGCCATTGATTAAGAAATCTGTACAGGCGACCTGCCTACTGTAGTTTATGCAGTTATTAACGCAATGGGGTTTGTTAAGAAATAAAGGAAAAAATATTCAGTGGATGTAAATATTAAGGAAATAAATACTATCTGAAAATGTGAAGTCATTATAGGCCGCAAAACGGCCTTATACATGTAGAGAATGATCCTTTCAATTGTTACTGTGTCGGTAAAAAAAAATACTGT